TTGATATAAAATCATTAATTACGTATACAAACCTTATAAAAAACGTATCATTTCCTTATTTCGATTTCTTATAGGGATATATAATCATTGAATCAAGTAATAATAGTAAATAGCCAAAAGAGAAGAGGAAGTCAGATAACCAATGACGGGTTTGAATTTCTTTAAGTCTAATGGTTGTAATTAAAACTATAATAGCTTTATCATTTAATTAAACTGAGAGATTAGTAGTCATAGATTGGAGTTGATTTTCATAAAGATTACAAAATTTGTAAAGAAAGTTGTTGAATAAAACAGAATTGGATGTGTTTGAAGGAAGATGAAGTTTGTGTTTGAATAATAATTTAAAAGGGTTAGAAAGGTTAAAACATTCCTTTTTTGTAAGAAAAGTTAATTGTCTTCTATATTTGATGCAAATAATTATAACCATATTAAAAATATATAATAAAATTTTGTCAATTAAGTATTTGTATTTCATAATAGAACAATTAGTGGTAATTTCAGTTTTGATTTAATTGAATACAAAAGATCTTTTGCATTTTAAATTGAGCCAGACATCTAAAAATCTGATAGATTCAGAATTTGGAGTAAGAGAAATAAGGATATTTTTGCTGTTGTATTGAAGAAGCACTTTACGAGAAGTTAAGAAGTTAGGATTATAGGGTGTAGAATATAGAATATAGGATGGATTGGCTGTAGTTATTAGGATTCCTTTATCATCATTTGTGAGTATATTATTTAAATGATTAAAACTATCAGTAATTTTGAGAAGAGAATTTAAATTTTCTTGAGAGTTTAAGATTAATGTAGTGTCATTCATATATGCTATATTTGAGATTTCTAAAGATTGTGTGGTTGTATCAGGGGAACGAAGGTTAGGATGCCAACTATTGGACATTAAATAACCTAGGCCATGTTGAGATTGTAGTTCACATATTAGAGGGTCATAATAGATACACCATAAAAGTGGAGAAATAATTTCACCTTAATTAATGCCGATTAATACATCATAGTTATTTGTAAAGCCATAGTGAGTAAAGATGCAGTTTTTGCGATTTAGAACAAATTGATGATGAAAGTACAAAAGGAAGGAGGGAGTTGTAGATAGAGCATAACTTTATATAATATGTGAACATTAACACAATCATATGCTTTAGACATGTCTTGAAAATAAAACTAAAGTTCTTTGTTTTATTCATTAGCATTATGAATAACATTATCTAAGATACGAATAGGTTCGAAAGTGAATAAATGTGGAAGACTAGCAAAGTTGTTACCTTTAAGAATTAAGTGATTGACAAAGATATATGAGAGTCTATAGTTAATAGCTTTAACAAGAGCTTTACGAACAGTGTCTAAAAGTGTGATAGGATGAGTATTTTTGAGTTCGCATTTCCAATCTTTAAGTTTAGATATTGGATAAATGTCTGTTTCTCACTATACTGAAGGTATATTATTTAAATATAAACACAAAGTGCCAGAGAGCTATATGCATTTTTTTGCCTAAATGTTTAAGCATTTCATTTGAAATTCCAGACGGATCAAATGCTTTACTATCAGGAAGGTCATGTAAGATATTAGTCCATTCGTTTTTAGAAAGGGATTCATTAGAGTATTATAAATAGAAGGATTAATATTTTTTTTAGGAACGTATTGATGTTGCCATTCTTCTGGGATCACTTTAGATTTGTGAAAGCTATTTAGTACAGCTAAATTTTAAAAATGATTAATAGCGGTTGATTTAACTGTATCAGGTTAAGTTAAAAGTCTAGTAGATAGGTCAGGAAGGGTAATAAGAACACGATCTAAGATGATTTTTCTTTTTTGATGATCTAAAGCTGAATTAATAACTAAATTTTGATTAGATTGATAGTTTAGGCAACGTTGATGAATATATTTAATCATTTGTTCTTTTAAATATTTCTTTTCTTCTAAAGTGGCCTTTGTAATAAGTAATTTGATGAGAAATTTAATAGAATGTTTGATGAACATATAGTTATTATGTCGAACAAAATATGATAAGTTTGCTGTATAATTATAACATTTGGTTATTGAGATGAGTTTGTTACGGTAGTGATGCCAGTCTTCATTAGAAATAAAATTATTATCATGAATGCGTTTAAGCGTGATAAAATAATATAATTGGTTTTCATATTCCGACCGGGTCAACAAAATGGGATTTAGAAATTTTTTTTATTTTTTTTTTATAATTGACCAATAAAAATGCTTCATGATTAATATCACGTGATTAGATGATAAATCATATTAAGAATTTAGATTCTGATAATCACCACGAATTGAATTTTAGTTAAATCATTTTATTAAGTATTCAATGTAGTTACCATAATGAATTAAAGAAGTTGATTTCTTTGAATTATTTTTACTATATACAAGATCTGAAACAAAGTATCCAAA